TCATTCTTTTAGTCCAGAGAATAGGCACGGTTCACATGATCCAGACTGGGCAATGTTAGGCTTTTGGTGACACTCTAATCTCCCATGCACACACGGCATGTTCCATCTTGAAGCAAATGTTCTCGGCAACAGTGTAATCTGTCCTGTTAAACTGATATTACATTAAGCACTGCATGGAGATGCCAAATTGGCAAATGAGATGAGTAAATTTCATCATGGAAATGAGATCTGTGGAAGTCTGTGAATTTGTGTTAAATGTCAGTGCAAATGTATTATGTCATGATATAACCTTTTCCCCATCTACTGCCACCACCACACACTTATCTAAAAATGCACTGGAGATCTGAGTATTCAAGGGTCTCTTCTGCTTCACATGACTCCTTCTGGGAAGCTAAAGAAAAAGGAAGCTGGAATGGGTATCATATCAGGCAGAAGCTAGACAGTATCTGCATCTCATTCTAAAAAGATGTGCCATAGCAACTATGTAAAACTTCCTCCTTTGCCATCATTATCTGGATGATTTAGTATTAATTATTTCTTGAAAAGCGGTTTTACTTCCAAATCGACCCCCCTAGAAAGTAGTATTTGTTGTTTCTTTATTTGTTTACTTGTAGAAAAGATAGCAGTATTTGTTCAGATAATTGATACAGCCCAGTGTGGTACATGAGCTTAATATCAGAGAAGCTGCCATTGAGTATTTTCTTCCCTTTACCCTAAAGCAGGGGTCTCAAACTCAACTTACCTGGGGGCCGCTGGAAGTAGAGTCTGGGTGAGGCTGGGCCGCATCGAGTATTCCACCCCCGCGGTGGTGGTGGACCTCTCATCCCGCAGCCAGCCCAGGCGCCGCCAGTGCTTTGAAGGCCACAGGGCCCCACCTGTCCTGGCAATTGGCCCACGGGCCACGAGTTTGAGACCCCTGCCCTAAAGGGAGACACATTGCATAGTGCAGCATGTTGACAGCTTGTACTCGTGACATGCAGGATTTATTTCATTGTTTCATCCTTGAGACTGGCACAGAAACTCAGTTTCCAAGGCACCTAATAATTGACTGATATCTCCACATTTGCCTTCAAAAGATCAGAGTTGGAAGGAACCGTTTATGCTACTGAGATCAATCCCTTGTGCAGTGCAAAGATTTAAAGATTCCCTGTCCAGCCTCTGCCTGAATGCTTCCAATGATGGAGAGCCAACATCTCCCTGGGTAGCTGATTTAATTGTTTGACTGTACATCAGGAAGTTTTTCCTGATCTACAACCAAGTTCTGCCTTGCTGCAACTTCATGTTCTACAGTCTTGGATGACAGAGAACAGATTGTAGCCTTCTTCTGTGTGATAATAAGTACTCTTTCCAGGTTAAACTTACCCAACTCCTTCAACCTTTCCTTGTAGGAATCGATTTTTTAGTCCCCTGATCATCTTTGATGCCACTCTTGAGGCACATTCAAATTTATCAGAATACTTCTTAAAGTGTGGTGTCCAGAAATTAACACCTGATTCAAAGTGAGGTCTTATCAGCACAGAGTGGAGCAGAAGTATAACTTCTTGTGATTTTGAAAATTAGTTCTACTGATGTTACCTAAAATTGTACCTGCCTTTTCTACAGCCAGATCACATATTCAACCTGTGATCCTTTTCACATGTACTATAACCAAGCCAAGTATCCCTTACCTGCAACTTTTGATTTTACTAAATGTAGAACTTTGCACTAGTGTCTGTTACATTTCAAACTGTTATTTTTTGCCTAGTTTTTGAACCCATCGAGGAAATTTTGAATTCTGTTTCTGTCTTCAAGATATTATCTATCCCTGTTTATGTTTTTGCCATCAGTAAATCTGGTAAGCATTACTTCCATCTTTTCTTCCGAGACACTGACGTGTCACAAGCGTAGGACTAAGCCTTGCAGCACCCTACTTGTTACCCTTCCAGTCCGATGAGGAATCATGGTCAAGAATGGTTCTTCAGCTAAAGTAGCACCAACCAAGCCACACTTACTAGCTTGTTGAACAGGATACCATGGGACACTTTATCAAATGCCTTGCTGAAGATAAAATATACTATGTTTGCAGCACCTCTATGATCCACTGCCGTTAGGCTATTAGGGTACTATAAAAGGCAATAAACAGATAAATAAATAACTGAAAATTTGTATTAGTCTTGCAGGACTCATTCTTGATACGCCCATACTGCCAGGGTGTCTACAGGTGTTCTTTCTGTCATCTGCTGCAGAATCTTCTCACATATTGATGTCTACAATCCCCTGAGTTTTCCTTCTTGCCACTTTTAAAGATAGGAATGGCATTTGCTTTCTTTTAGTCCTCTGGTATGTCATCTGTTTTTGGAATTCCTCAAAGATACTTGACAGGACTTCTGAGAGTCCATCCAAGAGCCACTTCAACATCCTAGGACAGAATTCACCTGGACTTTGCAACCTTAATTCATATGAGGTACTTACATATTCCATAACTTTTTCTATTGCTCTCAGCTTGCACTCAGACACATCTGCACTGGACACAGACCTAAAGGAAGAAACCAGGCATCAGAAACAGTTAAAACACACCAAATTGTTTACCATTGGACTGCACAGAGTGGATAGTTTTTCACTGAAGTAGAAAGAATTTTCTGGATTACTGGAATCCAGAAATTGCATAGTCAGTCTCCATCACATGAGATTTTCTCTGTTGTATTTTTATCAAATCCCCCTATCCTTATTCATCTAATAGTCAAGTAACACAGAACATCTCTGCACAAGAAAAACTGCATTCTTGGTACATTCTGCAGGTTTTCTCCATGTGAAATAAAAGCAGCTTATCCTATTAGGCAGGACACTCAGTTATTTTTATAACTGCACCAGGCATGAAATCCTTTCAAAATGAGGATCTGTTTGTTCTATGGGACTCCAAACTCAGTTTGTTTGAGGATAATTTGGATTGTTGATTATCTTTCTAGCAATTCAGAAGGATGAAAATCCATAGCAAAACAGGCAATTGCAGATTGAGAATAGGAAAAAAGAAAACAGGAAAAAAATCTAGTTACATTGTTCCCACAAACTGTTGTGCATTGCTGCTTAGATTAATTTGAAGAAAGAAGAATCCCCACAGTCAAATCCCTGCATGATTGTACTACAATCAAGATAATGTTTCCCTTTCTTCTATTTCTTCATTTCATTTTTTGAAAATCTCATCAGACATTAATTCTGTTGTCATGATAAGTAGAATGCTAGTCTTGTTGGAGGGACTGCAGGTGGCGCAGTGGTTTAAACCGCTGTGCTGCTGCGCTGGTTGATCGAAAGGTCACCGGTTCGAATCTGCACAATGGAGTGAGTTCCCGTTGCTCCGTCCTAGCTCCTGCCAACCTTGCAGTTCAAAAGCATGCAAATGCAAGTAGATAAAAAGGTACCACTTTGGAGGGCAGGTAACAGCGTTAGTCATGCTGGCCACATGACCACGGAGACTGTCTGCGGACAAACGCTGGCTCCCTCGGCTAGGAAACGGAGATGAACACCGCCCCATAGACTCAGGCATGACTGGACTTAATGTCAAGGGGAAACCATTACCTTTACCTTTAGTCTTGTTGGAGATGTTAAATTTTCTGTTGGAACTATGCTCAGAGTCAGTGGTGAAAGTAGGAGCTCTGAAACCCTTTGCTGGCCCCAATAAAAAGTGCACCAATACTTAATCCTATAAAATCCCAGTAGGCATTGAGAAGTTAATGTCCTTTTCGATGACTCTTTGGAAGCCAACTAAGGCAAGTGCCCAAGGAAGAGAGTCTAGGAACAGTTTTCTTCAGTACTTCGTTTGAAAGCATTGCAGCTGCAATCAGGAGGCATGTTCCATCGAAAACAATGGGCAGTATCCAACATTGCCATTCTGCAGACTCAAATATTCTTAGCAGAGCTGTGCTGAATCTTTCCATAGCACAAGTGGTTGTGCATTGGATCCAAAGACAGTGCGCTCAGTTCCAATGGCAGTGCAAGGAGTTGCATAACTGTTTAAACAATGGGTTGCACTCTCCATTGTGCAACCATTTGTGCAGAATGGGAAGCACAACCCATCATTAAACTGGTAGTGCAAGTATAATGTGCATCTCATTGCACAATGATTTGTGCAAACATAATGTATAACTGCTGGCAGAAGTATAACTTTAGTTAGGTTTTCCTCTTCTGCTTGGTATGGAACTTATTTTTTCCTAGTGCAATATCAGGTGTGCTAGCAGAAAAGCACAGCTGGATGCTGCCCACTGTGTACAGCTCACTTTCTGCTGATCTTTACTCAAAGGTCAAGGGTAATTGTGAGGGAGACCATTCCTTCCCTTCCCAGTCACAAAGCCATTGGAAAATCCTCCAGACAGTTATTGGTACTAGCCAATGTGTAACTGTGGTGTGTGTGTGTGTGTGCATGTGCATGTGTGCAATTTTCAGGGGGCCGAGAGCTGCCAAGATAAGAATTCAAACTTCATTTTCCACATGCTGTGATGCTGATCTGAATCAGGGTCCCCACATTTCTTTTTGAATTAAAAAAATGAGTTGCATATTCAGCTTCCCATGTAGCTTTATCCTTTGTCATTCTAGAGTCATAGAATCATAAAATAGTACAGGGGGAATGGGCCAATTAGACCATTGAGTCCAACTCCCCTGTTCAATGCAGTACTTCAGGTAAAGCATCCCTGACAGGTGGCTCTCCAGATGCATCTTGAATGCCTCCCATGATGTCCGTGGGTTGTTACTTCTATTGCCCTACTGCTCTAACAGTCAGGAAGTTATTCCTGATGTTCAGCCAGACTCTGACTTCCTGTAACTTTGAGACTCTTTAATATAAAACCCTCCTTCATGGATCACTGCCTTGTCACGGCGAAGGGGCTTGCGTAGCTCAATAAAGCTATGAGCTGTGCTGTACAGGGCCAGCCAAGATGGACAGGTCATAGCAGAGAGCTCTGACAAACGTGATCCACTGGAAAAGGAAATGGCAGCCCACTCCAGTATCTTTGCCATGAAAACCCCATGGTCAGTAGCAAAAGGCAAAAAGATATGACGCTGGAAGATGAGCCCCTCAGGTCGGAAGGTGTCCAATATGCTACTGGGGAAGAGCAGAGGGCTAGTACTAGTAGCGCCAGAAAGAATGAAGCGACTGGGTCAAAGCCGAAAGGACACTCAGTTGCAGATGTATCTGGTGGTGAAAGGAGAGTCCGATGCTGCAAAGATTTATACTCCGTAGGAACCTGGAACATAAGATCCATGAATCAAGGCAAGCTGGATGTGGTCAAACAAGAGATAACAAGACTGAACATCGACATCTTAGGAATCAGTGAACTAAAATGAACAGGAATGGGTGAATTTAATTCAGAGGACCATCAAGTATACTACTGCGGGCAAGAATCCCTCAGAAGAAATGGAATAGCCTTCATAGTCAATAAAAGAGTAGGAAAAGCAGTACTGGGATACAATCTCCAAAATGACAGAATGATCGCAGTTCGAATCCAAGGCATTCAACATCACAATATTCAAGTGTATGTCCCAACCACTGGTGCTAAAGAGGCTGACGTTGACCGGTTCTATGAAGGCCTACAACACCTTCTAGAATTAACACCAAAAAATGATGTCCTTATCATCATGGGGGATTGGAATGTTAAAGTAGGAAGTCAAAAGATAACAGGAATAACAGGCAAGTTTGGCCATGGAGTACAAAATGAAGCAGAGCACAGGCTGGTAGAATTTTGTCAAGAGAATACGATGGTCATAGCAAACACTCTTTTCCAACAACCCAAGAGACGACTCTACACATGGACGTCACTAGACGGTCAACACAGAAATCAGATTGACTATGTGCTCTGCAGCCAAAGATGGAGAAGCTCTATACAGTCAGTAAAAACTAGACCAGGAGCTGACTGTGGCTCAGATCAAGAGCTTCTGGTTGCAAAATTTAGGCTTAAGTTGAAGAAAGTAGGGAAAAGCACTAGGCCACTCAGGTATGACCTAAATCATATCCCTGATGAATATACAGTAGAGTTGACAAATAGATTTAAGGAATTAGATGTGATAGCCAGAGTGCCTGAAGAACTATGGATGGAGGTTCACAACATTGAACAAGAGGTAGCAACTAAAGCCATCCTAAAGAAAAAGAAATGCAAGAAAGCAAAATGGCTGACTGAGGAAGCTTTACAAATAGCTGAGAAAAGAAGGGAAGCAAAAGGCAAGGGAGAAAAGGAAAGATACACCCAACTGAAAGCAGAATTCCAGAGAAGAGATAAGAATGCCTTCTTAAATGAACAGTGCAAAGAAATAGAAGAAAACAATAGAATAGGGAGGACCAGAGTTCTCTTCAAGAAAATTGGAGATATGAAGGGAACATTTCATGCAAAGATGGGCATGATAAAGGACCAAAATGGCAGGGACCTAACAGAGCCAGAAGAGATTAAGAAGAGGTGGCAAGATTACACAGAAAAACTATACAAGAAAGAGCTTAACGTCCCTGATAACCACGATGGGGTGGTCACTGACCTCGAGCCAGACATCCTGGAATGTGAAGTCAAATGGGCCTTAGGAAGTCTGAGCAACAACAAAGCTAGTGGAGGAGATAGTGTTCCAGCTGAGCTATTCAAAATCTTAAAACGCAATGCAGTAAAAGTGCTACACTCAATATGCCAGCAAATTTGGAAAACTCAACAGTGGCCACAGGATTGGAAAAGATCAGTTTACATTCCGATCCCAAAGAAGGGCAATGTCAAAGAATGTTCAAACTACAGCACCATTGCACTCATTTCACATGCTAGCAAAGTTGTGCTCAAAATCCTACAAGCTAGGCTCCAGCAATACGTGAACCGAGAACTACCAGAAGTGCAGGCAGGAATTTGAAGAGGGAGAGGAACTAGAGATCAAATTGCCAACATACGCTGGATCATGGAGAAAGCTAGGGAGTTCCAGGAAAACATCTTTTTCTGCTTCATTGATTATGCTAAAGCCTTTGATTGTGTGGATCACAACCAATTGTGGCAAGTTCTTAAAGAGATGGGAGTACCAGGCCATCTTATTTGTCTCTTGAGAAACCTATATGTGGGTCAAGAAGCAACAGTGAGAACTGGACACAGAACCACTGATTGGTTCAAAATTGAGAAGGGAGTTTGGAAAGGTGTCTACTGTCGCCCTGCCTATTTAACTTATATGCCGAGCACAACATGAGAAAAGCGGGGCTAGTTGGAATCACCAGTTGGAATTAAGATTGCTGGGAGAAATATCAACAACCTCAGGTATGCAGATGATACCACTCTAATGGCAGAATGTGAAGAGGAACTAAAGAGCCCCTTGATGCAGGTGAAGGAGGAGAGCACAAAAGTTGGCTTGAAACTCAACATTAAGAAAACTAAGATCATGGCATCCAGTCCTCTCACTTCCTGGCAAATAGATGGGGAAGAAATGGAGGTAGTGGCAGATTCTATTTTCCTGGGCTCCAAGATCACCACAGACAGGGACTGCAGCCAAGAAATTAAAAGATGCTAGCTCCTGGGGGGGAAAGCTATGGCAAATCTAGAGAGCATTCTAAAAAGCAGAGTCATCACCCTGCCAACAAAAGTGTGCATAGCAGGGGTCTCAAACTCGCAGCCCGCAGGCCAATTGCCAGGACATGCGGGGCACAGGGGAGGGGCCCTGTGGCCTGCAAAGCGCCGGCAGTGCCCGGGCCAGCCACGGGATGAGTGGCCCACCACCACCGTGGTGGTGGAATACTTGATGTGGCCCAGCCTCACCTAGACTCTACTTCCAGGGCCCCCCAGGTAAGTTGAGTTTGAGACCCCTGTTGTATAGTCAAGGCTATGGTTTTCCCAGTTGCAATGTATGGCTGTGAAAGCTGGACCATAAGGAAGGCTGAATGCCTAAGGAATGAGGCCTTTGAATAGTAGGAGTGCTGGAGTAGACTCCTGCGAGTCCCCTGGACCGCAAGGTAATCAAACCAGTCAGTCCTAGAGGAGATCAACCCTGACTGCTCTTTAGAAGGCCAGATACTGAAGATGAAACTCAAACACTTTGGCCACCTAATGAGAAGGAAGGACTCCCTGGAGAAGAGCCTAATGCTGGGAACAATAGATGGCAAAAGAAGAAGGGGACAGCAGAGGATGAGGTGGCTAGATGGAGTCACTGAAGCAGTTGGTGTGAGCTTAAGTGGACTCCGGGGGTTGGTGGAAGACAGGTAGGCCTGGAGGAATGTTGTCCATGGGGTCACGATGGGTTGGACACAACTTCGTGAGTAACAACAACAACAAAATAAAACCATCACTGATATTTTTCATAGACACATAAAGTGAATCCAGAAACAGCTATGAGAAAGACATCTGAACGGTAGTGGCCAAGAGGGTCAATTAGATATGAATAGACCTCTCCTTTGTAGGGAGAAAAATACCTCCTGTTTCATCCTGATACCTGAAATACCCAGCCAAGTTGTAATATCTTATAGATAGATAAGAACATTCACCAAGTTGACACTTACTGTAAACACATACCCTTGGTAAATATCAGAAACATATAAATGTTGACATTTACCAATAAGTAGGTAGAGTAAAATTAAAATTAAACCAGAAATAATGCATTTTGACATCATAAAATCAAATTAAAACCAACAGCTACATAGAAAACTAAAAATATATTTTTAAAAAAGCTCTGAAAGTGCCTGGGAGAAGAAAAAGGTGATCACTAGCCAACAGAAAGACTATTAAGTAGGTTCCAGGATAGCCACCATAAGGAGAATATTCCACAATCAGGGTGCCACTACTTCTCTCTTGTAGCTTACTTTTACTCATTTGGAGGCAGTACTGGGGTGAGGGGTGTGCTCAGATTATTATATTCAGGTATAAAAATACTCCACTTTGAATTGTAAGAAGGAGAGAGAGAATGAGAGAGAGAGAGAGAGAGAGAGAGGGTTGATTCCATCAGATTGGTGTCAGTCCATTTGCCAAAATATACCTAGTTTTGGCCACTTGTTGTCTGTGAATTCCAACTAAATACCTTTGGTCAATGGATGAATTGAATCATAAACTCCATCCTATATTTGTGCATTAAAAGCACAGCTAACCCAGGTTAAAATGTCCCCCTGGAACCACTAATCATGTTGCTATGGTAATGTAAGAACAAGATCAAAGAAGCAAAGCCAAGCATTTGTCACTAGATGAAACCTCCATTTTATTTCATGGATTTGAGAGATTAACTATATCCATTTATCTGGAGTTTATTATTTACCTTTATGATACTCTTCTATGTGCAGTATAGGAATGAATCTGTTAAATTCAGTTTCCTAGAATTTCTATTTTTTCTAATCTTAAATTCATGTTGCCTTATTTTTGCATTACTTTATTTTATAATAAATTAGTATACAATTTCATTAATATCTCTCCCAACATTCACATTTGTTTACATGATTTTATTTAACATACCTATTTTTGCAGGAAATGCCACCTTTTACGTACTTCTGTATGCGATTATCAAGAATTTATGCATTTTTGTGAATAGATTTCCCTAATACACAAAGGTCTATACATGTTTTTGAGTGAAAAACTGCCTCACAAAATTCAGGACAATGTGAATAATAAAGTGTAGCTGCATTTTGGTTCATGCGTTCCTCTGGGAAATAAGAATTAGAATGCATTCTGGACAGGATGCCTGAACGTCCCTAATGTGAAAGATTTCATATATCCTATGAAGAGCTGAAGGAACGGTGGAAGCAATCAGTAATTCCCTGTTCCTCCACTCTGCATTTTTGCTGGTCAGCCATTTTACTCATCTAGCTGTAGCACCTTGGAGTAGGACAAAAGGAAGCTTTACGATACCTTATATCTTGGCTGCCGGTGAAGACCCTGATGCCTGGAACAGTTGACAGCAAAAGGGGAAGGGGACAGCAGAGGATGAGGTGGCTGGATGGAGTCACTGGGGCAGTCAGTGTGAGCTTGGGTGGACTCCGAGGGATGGTGGAGGACAGGAGAGCCTGGAGGAATGTTGTCCATGGGGTTGTGATGGGTCAGCCCCGACTTTGTGACTAACAACAATAACAAATATCTTGGATGCTTTTCCTCTACCTGTCGC